GGTGTGGTTCGGTCGGTTGCGCCTAGGTAAAGGTCGGGGACAGACTTTTGATTTTGGCGAGTACTCGAGCACGGCATCGGACTATCCTGCCGGAAACAAATTATGTTTCGTCCGGTCGTTTCATACAACCTGCTACTCGCCGCTCAATCCTACGAGTCTTGGGGACGGACGCATAGGAAGTATCGGTATGGTAAGCACCATCGGCCTTCCCATGTATTACAACCCCGCCAACCCCAAACCCGCCAGGAATACCCTCCCCCCCACCTCCGCAGAGGCGTCATAACCCAGCACTCGCCCACCCCGAAATCCCCTTCATAGTTCAATACGGGAGCCCCACGAAACACAGGCAGAAACACCATACCATGGCTGCCAATCCAGATTAAGTTTGCGAATGTTGTAATCGATCCTGTGCTCCTGGTGATCTTTCTGCCTCAAGACAGACAGGGATTTCAAAACAGCGCGGTGACCCTTCATTGCGGGATTATCCGAAGTCTTTGAATAGGGATAGCTTGAAATCTTTTCACCTACAGTATCACGGCCACCAGGTGCTTACAACGACAGTAATAAATTTGCGGAAGCCGTGGATTGATGAATTCCAGCTGGTTTAAAGAGTGTATTGAGTTTTGGTACTGTAGCTTTACCGGTATGGAATATCTTTTTTTTCTCGGATGGACATTGAACCAGCGGTTAACACCTCATGTCAAGTCTACTCCTTGTCTCTCGCCTCCCTTACCAATTTCAGGGACATGTCGGCTTAGTTCTTCAAGCCAGACACATCTGGCTGAACAAGTGTCTCGCCAAGGAGTCGGCACTACGGTACGTACCGATGATAACCGTAGTCCCTAGCAGGCCATGATTGTTTCCACAGCTCGGACATAATAACACATAACCTATGGTAGTACGGCATTGCCGTAGTACTGCAGAGTTTCTATATTAGGACCGCTATATAACTAATTTATGTAATGATATCTGATTTCCGCGGCCTGGCAGGGCCATGGAAGTCTTGACCGCGTAGCCGGGCACCGTAGGGGGGAATTCCGTTGTGATTGAAAAAGCGGTCGGGCCTTTTGATGCTTGAGGGAGAAGAAAGTTGCTGTTGCATCTAAGGGGGAGGGGAGGGATGTTGTACAGTACTTGTACCAGCACTGAGTGCAGTACGGTACAATAACCTAATACCGGTATCTATGTTTACCACCTTCCCATGCTCCGCATCAGTCCCGACAAATGATGGCAGGTGAATGGGCGGAGAACTCCACAGTGTGACAACGCCGCCGGCATGATTCCGGACTATGATTGTGCATGCATGTCACGTCTGTGGGGAAACGCGTCTACTCGTACTGTAGAGTCCCCCCACTCCAGGATATTAATATTCCCTTGTACTCGAGTAATAAATTCAACCCTGGCTCTCGCATTGCTCGGAGAAGCCCATTGTCGCCACATTCGCGATGGATGCATTTTTAGGAACCCCAGCGGTAGGGCTAGCGGGAACGCGCGGTGATCTAAAAACCAATAACTTATGCAGCGGATGGTTGAACGAAGCTCGACCTCACGTCCCACTTCGACACGGACATACACCCCGGAGCCCCCTTTCTCCCTTCCCCCCCCAAACCCCAACCTCCCGAGATGTCAAACCTTTCACTCCTTATTTACCCAAGCAACAATTGGGGGTCCACATCGAAGGTTATCGGTATTCCTTCAAGTTTATCAAATAAATCGGTAAATCGATTTCTCTGAAAGGGGATAGCCAAACTCTCAGGAGGCGAGGGCTGATGACGTTGTTACGACATTTCCACTGACATCATCCGCGCATTCTAGTCCCAATACCAGACCGACATCAATCACGATTCGCGAAGCCTAACATGCACACCTTCTCTCCTGGCGTGAGGAGGGCTATTTGCTGACGGAGGGCTGATGAATCTCGCGGTAGCCAATACTCTCTCTTCTACCTTGTGGCTCAGAAGATGAGTATTGAGTGAGGTTCCATGATTACTTTTGGAATCTGCCCTACCGTACCGCACCGTACCGTACCGTGGTTGGGTGCCGTACCCGTGATCGAGTTTGCACAAGCGGTAAAATACCGGTACAATTGTACTCGTAAGTCCTCCCTAGGTTACCCCCAAGGCGCACTAGCGCGTTAAAAATGGCCGGAACATCCCGGGGCACGTCAGAGGGCTCCACTTCTCAGTGGCAAAACAGACATCCGACCAACCATGTTATAACACCAGTGCCGAGGGACCCGCAGGGCCCTCTCTTATCCCATCCCTAAGCATTAGCGTGGCAGAGGAAAGCCTTGGCTACAGGTATCCGACATGTGGCGCAGTATCGTACCCGGACACAGGAATCAAAAATTGTATGTCAGATTGTCTGTGCACATCTGAGCGCAGACATTTCCGTAAATTCAGGTTCAATGGTTCAGGCACGGCATTTCATGCAAGGTGCTTGGGGACTGAATACTCGAGTAGTGGAAACTTTACGCCTCCTTGAACGAGGCGTGCCGTCGTGCCGCCAGAGGTGACAAAGGGCTTTTGGATCGAGCTTCCCGCAACCTTGGACGGAGAGATTTTGGCGTTGAAGCCCTTCACCGCGCTTTACCCCCTTGTTGTTTCTCCGGGCTCCGGCCGTCCCGATAAGGTTGGGCCTACCAAGGTTAGGAGTGTTGATGATCGCCGTGTTCAAAATCCTGGGGGTGATCGACAGGGTCAGACAGGGGTGGTCAACATTTTTCACAGGGGCCTAGTGAGTCCACTTGCTCGAATACGGCACCGGTAGCACAGAGGGACAACACCTGCCTCTCGTACCTCGGGGTCCGTATCCCGACTACTAGCATAGTACTCGTACTGTACTACAACATACCGGTACATGACTGGTAACCATAGAGTTTCGAGGTCGAATTTTAAGTCACAAGAAATTTTTGGCAGCGCTGAGAGGGTTCCGGTGATGGGCCGCGAGGTTCAGCGAATTAGCGACCGTAAAAGCTACTTGTTATTAGCGCGCAACCGAGAGAGCATCGCGGTCAGCAGAGGTATCTACAACTCTCTTGTCTCTCTCCTTCGATAAGACCTGGGATCGACACATGAACGATAGGTAAACAGCCTCTGTTGGCTCGATCCTGGCTTTCTTGGTTCTCCGTAGCACGAGAGAAAAAATGGAGTGAAACCATTTGCAAAACATTTAGCTCGAGCGTAATATTCTTTACTGCGTTTGGTCCAAAAGATGAGGAATCCACAGCCTGTCATAAGATAGGGGTAAGCGCTATGGCCGCATGCTGACCTGCCTTTGTTATCCCAAAATAGCTCGGAATTCGTTCTGCCAGCAACTGAGACGAGAAAGTACGACTACTTGAGCACTGTAGGGTTCAACGGGGCGGCCGGAACAGAAAAGGAGAACGGGAAACAGAAGCACTGCCATACGGTAGCTTCTACCAGCAGCTATGTTCCTTTTAAGAAAGGGCCAAAGGAAAAGAGACAGTTCAGATCTCTGTTTCGGGGGGTAGAGATATGGGGAGGTTAGGTTCTGGGAGAAAGGAGAAGGCAGGAAGTGCGGGAGGTTGCGCAGGCGGAGGATCGGGGAGGGACGAAAAAGTCTTGAGAAGATTCGGTTTGGTGCAGCTGCTACCGGAAATCTCATCGGGAGACCCGGATCTCAATCCCGGAGGCGGACCTGAGCTTTCTTTGAGTTCTCACCCGGCCCAAATCCTCAGCATTGAGTGCTGCGGGGGAAGAAACCGGGTCTTCCCGAGGGAGAGCCTTGTGCTGTTGTCAGCAAATCCTGACCCAAAGTCTCTGAATAGAGATGGAGCATTGATTTGCCTCTGGCTGGTTGGCAGGAGACAGCTCCATAGTAGGGAAGTAGATTGGCACCGGGAAATTGACCCACCTTTCTCGCTCGGTTTATTTTTGACATGTTGACATGTTTTCGTCGGATTTTCTGATGGCAGGAAGAAGTAGCAACTATTCTTATTTAACAATTTACAATGCCCGTAGGTGCCCGAGGAATTGAAAAAGAAATAAAGAATGAACGGGAAAGAGAAGTGGCATGTGGAATGGCAGTGCCCTTTTGGGTAGGATAGTGAACTTTCTTGGGCGAGGATGTCAATACCGCACAAGTACTGTACAGTACAGTACCTGGCGCTTGTGGAGTTCACGGGCTGGATTCGGTTGCAGCACAACATATTCTGAGACACGGTACCGGTTTTCACAAGCGGGAGTTGGGCGAACTTCTGCGAGGCCTGTGTTACGGTACTCAAAGTTTGATTTGAGGATTTGGGGGCCCGTCATGGAGAGATCCTGCTCCATCGTGCACATTATCTCTGGGCATCTCTGCCAAGAAGAAAGACGGTGCATGCTCCATCAGATTCTGCCGAAGAATTTTACGTGGGTAGGAAGCTAAGTAGTGTAAGGACAGCGGCGACAAAAAATAAAAACTGATAGAGGAAAGTTTGAGATTTACTTTGGCAGGGCTAACTGTCCTCGGTTGTTTACCTTTCTATCTGTACTTGTACAAGTAAAAAAGTTAACTGAACTTTCAGTGGACACGATAAAAAGACCTTTACGGTTAAGAGCCTAGTCGAATACTGGCGGTCCCTCTGGAAATGAAACGTACTCGTACAAGTACGGTACTAGGACACGAGGGGGCAGAATCTCGTTAATGCGCTTGGGTACCGTGTTTGTACGGCACTCGTACAGTGGCCCGGCCCTCATCCTGAAATTTCTATGCTATGCCCGCTTTTATCTTTATCTGCCGGTAGGCTGGCCCAAGGATAGACTTTTGTGTCGGTGCCTTGCCTCTCGCTGCAGACACGAGGTGTCGTCGCTTCACACTGGAGTTTCCAGGCTGTAAATGAAGCAAATCATGGGCCCTCAGTCGATTAATTAGGCAGAGATTGTTTGCCCAAAATATTTAGGCTCCCCAATCTCTTCCGGGGCTGGAGATAGGGGCCGGACTCGTAGATCGGGTTGAAGGAACGAGAAGGCGGTGAATTGTCTATAATCTAGACCGGAGCTTCTGGGACAGTCGAGATGAGTTGTCGGGGTGATTGACGGATGACGATAGCGAGACACCTTCCTACACAATCCTTGGAAAGAGGGGGGTCCAATGATATCTTGACATTGTGGACCGCGGTTTGGCTGCCGATCCGAATGGGGCTTTTGGTCTCGACAAAGTTACTAATTATACCCTCAATATTCGCGTACTCGGCTGTATAGAAGAAATATGACGGTCTAGTTTGGTACAGTACCATAATTCTGTGATGGATTTCTTGACTCTTGAGTAACACCTAGGAAGCCGTTCGCTGGATTCACGGAGATGGCGGTCTCTCGGACTAGCGGGTGGTGCTGAAATACTTGTACCTGCTTTTTTGCAGGGCGTTCTTGTTGGATACTAATGATTAATAGCCAAAGTTACAACATGTGAGACATCGCCAAGAAATCGCGATAAATTTCTTTTTCGCTCTTTTCTTTCTTCCTCGTTGTTGATACGGTACAGCAGTCTACCGTACCGGTACTCAGAGTATTGATATCGCCGTCGTGGGCTAAAGCGGAGTTTGCCTCGCGCCAGAGGGAAGGACCAGAGCTCTCTCGCACACGGAAGTCGAGCCGTGGACAGCGACCGAGAGGGAATAGCTCATTTGAGATTATCATTGGAATGCCTGTTTCTGGAAATCAAGGTCCGAGACCTGGTCGGAACTTGGACCGCTTTGGGACGTTTTTCCGTTCAATGTCCCAGAATTGCCAATTAACAACACCAGAAGTCCCTCTTGGTACTCGGAGCTCATATCCCTTACGGAAAGAGTACGGTTTTTCTCTCTGTGTTAGCCTAACTCTCTGCTCCTAATCTGCCATGGCCGTACCCATAAAGAAAAGAAAAATAAGTCCCACGCAGGCATCCGATCTCAACCTCCCCTCTGCCATTTGATATCGTTTCCACTCCCCCCTGTATGTATGTAGCCTTCCGATTGTGATGCCAATGCTCTCCACGAGGTTGCCCAGAGGCCCCACAGGATTGAGTCTTTGGTAGCCAAGGTCTTGTCTGATCTATATCGCTAGCTACCCTTCCATGCTTCGGATTCTGGTCGATATTTTGTCCCGTCCCCTTCTTACCTTTTTCTTTCCCCTCACCCCCATCGTCATGTCAATCAGGAGACGGACGGGGACATTTTATTGAGTTGAAGGCTTCCATCGATTGATCTAGTCTGCCGGTCCGCAGCGCATTGCGCACCTACAGTGCATACATACAGCGTATCAATACTTGCTACCTCCGGCGCCTGTATTAAACGCTCCACGCTCTCTCACCCCACTCATTCGTTTTTAGATCAACACTTGCTTTCGACTTACGGTGTACGCGCACCTGGATTCCATCTAACTTGTTCCAAGGAGGGGCCAGGTTGTTTTTATTTTATTTTTTGCTTCCTGATTTTTTGAAGCAGCGGAAGGATACAGGCGGTGCCATAGCAGGGAAGGGAAAAGGGTTGGGAAAGCGACAAGGTGGTTTCTGGTAGGAAGGGGAGAGGAATAAGGACCATTTTCATGCATGTTAGGCAAAAACTGTTGGTGGACGACCAGATCACGAGTTTGCGGCGGCATAACTTAATAAACAGGCAACCAACTCCCTTTTGAGCCAACAGTTGGGCTGTCGACTTCCCTTTGGGCATAATTTCTGTTTTGCACGAGGATTCACTTTTTTGCGTTTGGATTTTGACCCGAGAGTCCCTCCATCTCTCTCTGGTTTTTTTTTCATCAGCCCTCCTCTGCGAAGGCTTATCCCCGGACATCGAGAGGTCTTCACACACTCTCGTTATCCGGGTTGGGTCTCTCCCGGTCGGAAAATCCTTCTGGGGGGGGCAATACCGCTTTTGAATTATCGATAACCTAATCGATTCACCGAGTGTTGATTGGTTTTGAAACCCTATCATAAACTCGCTCGACTTCTCAATGTGCTGCGCCGCGGACCTCCTGACCCGAGGGTTACTGCTTTTCAATGCATCTTCCGTGTTGCTTTTCGCATCATGTCCGTTCTCCTGTGGTCTTGCCCGTGCTGGAGCTATTGGATTTGTGGGCGCTTTGGTGCTTCAAATGGTGGATATATGGAGGTCAAAGCTTGGGTTTTGGGGCGACTTGGTGGCGATATACCTGGCCATCTTCATTCTAAAGACTGTGCCGTTTGCCTGGAGGGTAGTGAGGTGGGGTGGAAGTTGTGAGAGGGAGGAACTGGGGGGGAAGTTCTTGGGAAAATTCAGACCTATTCTTTTCTTTTGTTCAACAACACACGCCAGGTTCTTGCCTAAGAAGCACACATTCAAGTACCCGTTACTCTATGTTGGGTTTCCGGTCAATTTCAAGGGTTCGATTGGCGGGCTATTCTCCGTGCTGGATTCAAAGGGGGAGCGAGAGGAGAAGTTGAATATGGGAGAGAGGGAGGGGAAACGACCGTTCACTTTTTTTTCTATTGACCCTTCGGGATATATCAACCCGGAGCTGCCTTTCGAGAGGAAGCTGGACTCTGTGCTTATCTATCATGTACCTTTCCGTGATGTTATTATATTTTATGTGAAACAAATGGAAGGAGTGCTAATGTGTGGATATCAATATATAGGGAATCGACCCATCTCTTTATCCCTATATCTACCTCGTTACCACCCCTCGATTTTTTGGGTATTCATTCAACCCAGTCTCATATTATTACCTATATTCACCGCAACAAGAGCTCAAACTTGTCGTGCTCGAAGTCCTCAACACCTTTGGAGAGAGACATCTATACCTTCTCCATGCAGATGACCCTTCAAATCCCGCCCCGAGAAAGGGCTACACCTTTGCGGGGGAGATGGAGAAGACGTTTCACATTTCCCCTTTCAATCACCGATCTGGAAATTACAACATTCAAGTTCGAGATCCGCTCGACGCTGTCTCCCCCGCGGCATCCGGAGTGGATATGCACATGGTTGTGATTGCTAAAGATGGTACGAAGAGTATGGTCGCAAGAGCATTTTCCGTGTCTCCTTCGTTCGATATGATCAACGGGGGCACTTGCCGGGGATTGGTTATAGCGGCAACATGGGGCTACAATACTTTCTTAGCTGTCCCTTGGACAATGTGGGAGGCGTGGAAATTATACAGGAAGAAGGCTGTTGTATACACTCGACCCGAGGTTTTGGCAGGCAGCGGGCAACGGGAGGCCACAAGGTCCGAGAGGTTTGTCATCCATCTGCCGGAGGAGGGCAAGAACAAGGAAGGGGAAGGGACGGGCTACTTAGTAAGGGTAATCAACAAGGCTGACCAATTTTGTTTTGTTAATAGGGATATGCAAAAGATGTGGTTGGATTACTTCAAACACAGAGTATTAACATACAACCGTCCTATCTCAGTAACAATCACCCTACCAGAATCGAATGCAACCAAGGTAGCGGAAGATGTGACATTCTACTCGGAAAAACTGAGCCGAGGTATTTTCCCCGCACAAGTCGAGGCTTTAAAATCACGAGGACAATCTCCACCTTTCGCACCATCACCGCCCAACACAGCGAAATCCCACCTAACAATCCGCGTCTCCAACCCCCGTTTCTTCACACGTTTCTTCTCACACCAGGATCCACTACAAACGATATACTTAGACATCATATCCCAGCCCGGTGAGCGGCGTCTAGCGGAGGTAAATAATATACCACTATTCCAGGACCTTCTCCACCCCCGGCGAACAACAACGGCATCAATACCGGAAAACAAGCAACCTGCTATCCAATTCCGCCCGTTCAACATAATCCCCCGTCTCCGGCGTCTCAAGACGTCACTGGAGCTGTCATCCCTCAGGTTAGATGAGGAATTCCTCCTCCGACCCTACCCCGTATCCCACCGGAGCACTCTGGACGAATTCTTTCGGGCGAGCTGTCGGTACCGGAGAAATGGTATGAAGGCGATACTAGTCGACCTGATTGCCTTTGGGGAAGCCGAGAGCCTGGACCTCTACGAGAAGGTACTGGAGGTCGGCATCTGGGGCGTGACGATTGGCTTGACGGTCTCGCTCGTAGCATCAATGCAACTTGACATTGGGGGACTTGCTGGCCTCGGAAGCTCCGTGTGGAGTTCTCTCTTGTCACTTTCGTGGTCATGGCCCTGGGCCGTACCCGCTGACCTTGCGGGTGTTAATGCCCCGCTGTTATGGAGTGCTATTAAGGCTGTGTTCTGATACTGGTTACTCCTGAAAGGTTTACCTACCATACATACCCACTTCGACTTGCGTGGCGTGGTTGCTTCGCACCCATTGTGTCGATCTTCGGTTCTCTGTCCATCTTACTTTTTTTTCTCCCTTTTGAAACAGCTTTTCGAGATCTTTTCTCACTGTTTTCATCCGTTGGGGATTTACCCTTGTGAATATTTCTTTCGCCAACGGCGGTCATTCTGCATCTAGGGATTTATTTTTGCTTTTGGTTCCATTTTGGGTTTTAACGTTTCTTATTTCTTATTTCTTTTCTTTTTCAACACACCTAGGGGCCCGGGGATGGCAGGAGGGGGTAAGGAGACCCCTATAAAAAAAGAGCATTATTCATCAAGGATTAAGGTTATAACGTTTAATCTTATTTATTTTCTTTTTCCCCTTCTATTGCTTCTTTCCTTTTTGCCTTATTGTCTTTTGACAAAGATTCCGACTATCATATTATACTCGAGATTTCCTTTTTCTCACTCCCCTTCCGTGATGTTTATCATTCACACTATACCAGCCCGTCGTTACTATTATTCTCTTATGTCGCACTTAACCGCATCCACTCATTCATTCATTCCCTCAATATTTATCTCATCCATCCTCATTTCCATTTTTTTTCTTTTCTCTTTCCTTTTCGGCGCAGGAGGGGCACAAAAAAGGGGGGTCTTTTTTCACTAATCTCATGCCCCCCCGCATCTTTGGGGGGGTTTTTTTTTTTCAATTTCTCTCTTCCTTCATTTTTTCTTTTCTTGTTATCCATTGTTCTTTTTTCCATGCATTCTTGTGAATACTTTTACTCACCTACTGACACTCCCCCTTCTTATATCTACTATGGGGAGTTAGTTAGTATAGGGCACATTCCCGCTGTCAATACCTTCATGTAAATCCTTGCTTTTATTTCTCTCATTTCTTCTTTTTACGTGTCCATTACCACTATGGTAGTGCGATCTATCTATAGGGTGCGGCTTTGTCCATTTGTTAACATAGCGTGGGGGAAGGTGAGGGTACAATACAAAATGGGAATTCTTGACAAAAAATTAGTGCTGTGCTTTTTTTTTTTTTTTGCTCGAGTTGTAGGGATCTACTGCATACTACCCACCGCTGAAAGGAGTAAGGAATGACGCGATAATGAAATATGAAATAATCGCTGTACCAGTACAGGAGCATTTGCCCTTTTTTGTGGTATTTATCATACCCGTTAATTCCGTTGTAAATTAGGTGTCGTGGATTAGACTTACCGGTAGACTTGTAAGTCGCGGATTAAGTAAGTACGGTAAGCAGCCCTACTACAGTTCAAGCACAGTACAGTACCGAGTTGCAGCGCGATACAATACAAGTACTCGTACACACGCAGTCATGAGTGAGCCCCCACACCACACTCCCCGACAAACCTCCATTCACCCGGGGGATTTGTCGTGGTGTATGATAGCGTACCGGTAGTGCACAGTACAGTACAGTACAGTGCAGTATGCAGTACAGTACCGGTACGGTACATGGTGGTCGAAAATGGCCCACTTGTACCGGACCGGCATCTCACAGTATTATCGATATACGAGCGACGAGGATTTCTCCGGCTCTTTCTTCCTCTCGGCGGGCTTCTTTCTAGGAGGTGGTATTGTATTATAGACTCCCTTACCTACCTAACCTGCCGGTAACTAACAGTACAGTAAATATAATACCAGCTAGAGAGCGAGAGCATGAAGTGCCGCAGATATCATATCGGTATCAAACGGTTTTGTTTAATACCGGAGCACGATGCGTCGGTGTCATGTCCATACTTACATGCGTTACATGCGTACATGCGTAGATCCGTACTGTACTGTACTGTACTTGTACTGTACCTATGCCTTGTTCGGTCTGCTGCGCTGCGCTGTACAGTAAGCTTACGCATATAATACCACCCTAGAAATAAATAAATAAATGAAAAGTGAGTTGGGACATGGTATCGGTATCCATGTTTTTTTTTTGTTTGTTTCGGTAGGGTGGGTTCTGGTCCCCTTCCCTCCTCTCTCCTCCCGGAATAGACTAGAGGTTGGGAGTGTGAAGTGTTGTGTGATGTTCGGTACTTGTACTCGTACTGTACGAGTATAGTGCCCGCCCGCCGTCACGTGATCCAGGGGGTTGGCCTGCGGTATCATACTGGTATCATGGTTGTCAGAGGCTTTAGGAATCAGGACCGGAAGACTACTTACTACGGTACAGTACATGATAATTATCAAATTCTTCACGAAAACTTACCGTACTCGAATACCGGTAATCAGGCTCCGCCCGGCACGGCACTTGCATCACGTTTCGAGTATAGGGCTCCCTATTTTGCACCGCGCACGTGATACTGAGAGCTTATTTTCTAAACTGCCTTATTATTACACTCACTTGTACAGGTATTTTACTACAGTGTTGCAGGATACACACCCAGAACAGCCATTAAAAATCCGTCCATCAAAGAGTTTGGAACCGGGCCCTTTATTTTCGAGTAAACACCCGAGGTTTGTTGACTGGTCTACCCTACCCTACACTACCATACCGGTATTCCCTCCGTGCGTATGATAGAATATGATACTTGTGGGGAGTGGAGGCGATACATAGTCTTGGTTTTTTCCACCAGCACAAGTTGGGTACTGTACTAGTACTAGTAGAGTACGTGGAGTAGAGTATTATAGTTACCCGAATGGGTTCCCCTCACTGGTCACCGCTGGCCATCCATCATCCCCGGACTTAGCGCAACATAACGCCCAGTATTCGGTTTGGATGTATGTAATGGCCGGATTGGCTTTCTGATGGGTCAGGGTCGGAGGTGATGGCGGGGCCCCGCAAGGTTTGGGGGGGGGGGGGGGGTTCACCATCCGGCTTTTAAGTGCCGGGTTGTGCCTGACGAGATGTGCCTCTAAATCTTTACTAGGAACGGAGCAAGTGGTGAACCGGGGGAATGTAGGGGGGGAGGGGGTTTCTGGAGTCTTGGGGGGAATATCATCTTTTACAAGTGTTGTTTATGTGCTGGGTGCTTGTAGGGGTACATTAATTATTGGGCCTGACAGCTTCCTTCCACACAAGTTCCCGTGATTTCAACTCTCGTGCGCCTCCTGTCATGTCAACCTTGTTTTTTTTAGGTGGAGATACCTAATCTTGACACGTAGGGCTGAGGCGCCTCTACTAGTCCTGTATCGTATCATATCGGCAACAGTTCCATTACCACCTAACCACGTTCGACCCGCCTGCCACCAACACGGTAAAATTTTACATCAGTTTGCCGTACTCCGCTGTACTTGTATGATAGATACGGTACGTGGAAACCATATGGCACGTACAACGTCCTGACCCACCCAAAAATGGTTTGAAGATGCAGTATCATACCGGTAGAAGAAAGAAAAAAAAAGGGGGGGGGAGGGGGGGAGGGGGGGTACCACTATCACTAACAAAGGTATCACTTTTTAACATCTGATACCGGTGTACCGATACAAGTACAGTATCAGCCAAAAATTCCCAAATAGAGCTATAGTCCGTTCCATATTAGACAGTGGGGTGGGGGGGTACCGGTAGGGAAAGAAAGCCTCCCAACACTCTCTCACTGGCGGGGGCCCCCACTAGGGAAATCTGGGCCGCTTATCTACTCCTTCTCCGCCGTTTTTGTGTTTCGCGGGAAAGGCATGCCGTGCATACAGTGGACAGACGTGTTTGCTGATTCATAGGGCATCAATCAGCATGACTTGGCGCCAAGATGGCGCATTATCCGGCAAGGCTCTTCTTGCCGCTCGTAACTATGCTCGTTCGTTGGAATAAGAGATTTATTTGTAATGTGTCACAAATTCGCAGAAAAATACCTTTGTTTACCCCGATATGGTCCGAGATGGGCCTATTTTGGACATTTGATTCTTTATTGGACTGTTTACCTCAGCCCCTGCTTTATTTCGACGCGCTCATGACAGCCGAACTTTGATAGGTGGGTAATGCGGCGTGTAGTACCGGACTTGTGTCTTCGAGCCAAGAGTTGGCGTCAGTTTTCCATTTCCAAGGGCTTGTGACAGGAAGAGTGCAATTTCTAGGCGCGGGGACAAGTGCACTTCCTGAGTGGCAATGCCCGGGGCCCCACCTAATCCTCCTGAACACTCTGGCAGAACCAAACCCATCATAATAGAGCCGCTGTCGTAATAAATTTAAAAAGATCGGTATGTGTATAATCTTATATAAACCTACATTTGGACTTAGGTGCCTATTATTATGAGTGGTGGCTGCCGTGGGGGTTTGTGGGGCATGTGGGGGGAGGTATTGGTCAATGCTAACATGTCAGGTTCCTGATGATCGTGCAAGTAGCAGAACTAAAGCATGTTTTATATTTCTTCCCTTTTTTTTCACTACCGGTACTTATGCGGTACCGGCGCTCGAGCGCGCACCCCTCCCCCTGACCATCGTCACGACAGAGGTGCGGTATTCTGGTTGATTGCTGGAGCTTTGTTATCCTCCTGAAGAAACTCTCGTATTCGCATTTCTCACGAGGTGTTTATTTTGCTTTTTTTCCCGGAGGATTCCAATAAGACTCAGCGACTGGGCTGCCGGTCACACAGGCCGGCAGGTCCGGCTTGGCGAATTGGGCTCGTATCGGGCTTGGCTTGGCTGTTGCGCACTCGGTCCCAGCTGAACCCTTGTGCATTCGCGTGGGGCCAATCGTTGGCGAAGGTTCGGCATGCCGAGCTTTAGCTCTCATTTTTGGGCTTCCTCCTAAGTTTTTTTGAGGTGTGGGCCTGTGGGGCCGGTTTGTGCTTTGTTTTTTCTTGCTCCGTTCGCGCGGGTGGTTCTTGGGCGGGAGCTATATTTGGATTATTTGGCGTGCCGTATATGGTTGTAGTCGTACCGGTAGTTGTGATACATTTGCGCGAGATTGCGATGGTCGGAATAAGTTCAAGAGAAACCAACTGCAAATACTAGTAGGGCGCGGGAAGGAATTTGGAAAGAGGCTTGAAACATACTGTGGGTCCGTCGGGGATTTCAAT